TTAAAGCCACTGGACGCATCGAAGCACCGTTATTTCTAAAAGAACCGAGCCAGTGCTGTGGTTTACACGAGCTTAAGACGTGGGTCTGCAAATCTATCCTGAAAAAGAATCAGACAAGAAACTGAAAAAAGAAGAAAGATAACGAGTATCAACACAGCCGAAGACAGGACAGACGTATTCGGGCTTCTTTATTAACTTTTCTTCCGAAACACCTCATTGACAGCATATAGCAGAGCATTGAGAACTCACGCTTCGCGTCATCGCGCCTTCAGTTTTTAAGATGCAGCATGGACGTCCATCAAGTACGAATAGTTGTATCTCTGCGCCGTCGTAAACGCGCATCCTTTCCCTCCCTCTATTTCCATATTGTGCTTGTTTCCCTTTGTCTTATTCGTAATGGTACTTCAAGAACTTCGTGAGTAACACAGCCGAAAAAGCCCTAAAATATATATAGGGTATTTCTTGCACTTCAGAAATCTAGACGACTGGTTAGACTAGACTTAGCTAGACTTAGGCTAAACGCGGTCCAGGTAGCCTCCACCTCTACCCAAACTACCATAGCTTTTCACGGTATAATCCCCTAAAATATAGGGTATTTCTTGCACTTCAGAAATCTAGACGACTGGTTAGACTTTGAAATGTAAGAGCGCAAAATAATCACGTTGAGCATATAAAAAAATTTTACAATAAAATCCGTAACGCGCGGTTTGCGAGGGCACTTTTATAATGTCACTGGATCCGCAGGCACTTCATTCTTGCCCACAGGCAATAATTTTTGACTAGAGAGAAATGTAAAAAAAAACCTGACCTTAATATACAATCCATCTTGCTAACTGCTGCACACGTTTTTTTGCGTATGCTTTCACGTGTATTAAAACATTTTGTTCTTGCAATTTAAATAAAATAATCACGAAACGAACGGTTAGGTGTGATTGAAATCATGCGTAAGAAAAAGTTCTGACAATATTTTGTTCATGCAGGTTGGGTATGAGTAAGAAAAAAAGTAAAAATCTGATGGACGCAATAACTGAAAATGGGTGATACGGACCACGCAAATTGTGCGTTATGGAGTTGATGTTAGATATCTATAGCGCGCAAAGCGTGATTTTTGTGCAATTTTACATGTGTAGTCAGTTTATCCAGTTGACTGTATCTCTTGTGTAAAGCGTCCATTTTATCCCCGACGGAAACTTATTTGTTTGAAATAAATGGATCATTACGTAATGCTGGACTTCAATCTTACACATTCTCTTGTTGTGCACTTTAACGTGGTCGCAAACCTCTCCTATCCTTGCGTTGCGTAATTTTTAATCGTCCTTCCTCACTAACGGGGTAGATCGCGTCGTCATCATGTTTCTAAGGGAGAGAAACCTCCGTTATTGAAACTTTGAAACTTTGGCTCATGACAGATAACCAGATTGTTTTGCAAAAGCGTGATATATTTCGACGGTGTACAATCACATAACTCGGTTTGCGACGTCGCAGACTTCCTGTCATACTTAATTTTTCAAACGAAAAACTACTCAGCGGCAATTCTTTAAAATTGCCGTGATTTTTCATCTCTGTGCGAAGACAATTCTGCAAAAACTTCAAGGAATGATGTCAATTTGTTCTCCTTTAAAAAAATAACATAGAGGCGGAGATTTTCAGACACTGCAAGCGAGATGTGTGATTGCGGATTTACGCCGTCGATTTAATCATAAAAACGGTGGAATCCGAAGCACAAAATTGACATACTTCTTAATCGTGGGATGAAAAGGAAATATTATATACAATCAGCCTTCCAAACTAGTCCCTCATTACTTCATGACAACGGCGAAAAGCTCGGGTTACCTGTCTCCTATCATATTTTATATATATCCTCATACAAGAAATGTCAAAATCTTACATTATTTTTTCTTTCTCTGCCTTGACACGTCCAGCTTTGCCAAGTAGGTAGCCTAGGCAGTTCTCTAGATGTGACAAATCACGGAACGACGAAGAAGGTGCTTTTAGAATTTTTTTGTATCGTTTTGTCTTTCAATTACGCGGGTGAGATTTGACGAAAAAAGGTCAAATTTTCTGGAGGAAGACATAATTTTGTGCCGATTTTTGACACTCCGAACTCCGAAACTTTATTTGTCACTGGAACTATCAAGGAGGCGGGGAAATTAAAGTTATCTCGGACTCGGGAGGGCACAAATAAGTGAAATTCAGGCATGTGCTTGAATGTATTCTTTTTATTTATTTTTTTTTTTTTAATTGGTTACAAGCGAGCTTTCATAATGAAGATATACACTTTGTTTCTAGCTTAAATAAAGAGAAAATACAAACAACAGAAATCTATTCTCAAACATTTTAAAGAAATTGGCTATAACTCGGTTTAACGAGATAAGTAAGACCATAAATTTTGTAATATTATGCAGAAACGTGTTTTCTAGTTTAAGCATCAACTTTGAGCTTCCGTCAGTGGTTACACGGTACTTTTGACCCAGCTCTATTTGCTATAAAAAAATAAAGGATAAAAAGTCATGCTGGTTCCAAAGAGCAAACTAAGGAATATGCATATTTGTAAACTTTAAGTGATCTTAATCTAATTAGAATAACTTAAGTGCTTCGTTGCGTCATTTTCGCTACAAACCGCGTGTTCTCACTGTGAACCGCTCGCGCGATGGACACTCCGTCAAATTGCATTTCCCGCCAACCGACTCGAGTGCGTGCATCTACCAATCAGTTTTAACCCACGTTCGCGCGCTCCAGAATTGGCGGGAACCGCTGCGCATGCGTGGATTACTTTCGCAGATTGCCATGTCTGCGCTGCTCTTTATTAGGAGGACCCGATCAAGAAAAACTGGCATTACTTATGGAGAAATGAAGGATACTCGAGGAAATATATATTATCAAACATATTCTGTAAAGTTTTATCAAAGCGTATTTTAGGAGGTAGATATTGAAAACCCCTCATCACGTCTTGAAGTTGTATCATCATCTTAATTTTGTTTGAGTATGTCCAAAGCGGAACCAGTGAGAACGAAAACACACTACTCGAAAAAATGAAAATAATCAAGACGTACACAAAACTGCACAGTAAGTGAAGAAATTGGCTTCAGGAAAACATTTTTGGTGCCGAAAGACAAGTACTTTAGGACATTTTAAGGGTCCAAGTTGGAACTGATGCGCTAACTTTGATGACCTTTATGAAAATTGACTGTCTTTAATCAAAATTGAGCATTTTCGAGTTACCGAGTTGGTGTGGTTTCGTTCTCACTGATTCAACTAAGAGTGGAGGAGGACCGATTTTCTCCACTTAGGTATCAATGTGCAAGGGAGCGTTCAAAAATCACACAACGCACTAGGTATATCGGAATTCTTGCCCCTCCCCCCCCTCCCTGGTCTGCGTGGCCGCCTAGGAGATGGTTATAGAACTATCTTAAACCACCACTACCGCAGGTAATGAATTTCCTTAAACGCAAGGTGAAAAACGGTATTTTTCGTGTGAAATTTTGTAAGGTTGATCTTAAATCGTGAATCCATTACCGTATGAGGCATTTTGCGATAGAAATTACTTATAACTTTATCGCAAAATCGTTGAATTGAATGGCCCACTCAATCGAATATTCAAGAATCCGACGGCGATGACAAGTTCAAAACATAAAGCTGAAATTCTAAGAGAAATGGTGTTGTATAACATTCAACGAGTCAACCTCAGGCAGTTGAAATCACGTATCATTTTCGTTATCAACAGTCTGTGTCATTTTTGAGAAGCCCTCATAAGAGCACAGTGGATTATTACAAACAATCTCAATGATAAGCACACTATATGGACGTATTTCTTTCAAACGGAACCATGTGCATTATGACGTGAGCCCTATTATGCACATATTCTTATGGGCTTCAGGGCTCATGTCTCAATGAGCATAGTTCCGTTTGATAGAAATACGTCCATATAGGCTCCGCGGGCAGAGGCGCACCGTGGTCCCGCAACCAGATTCTTTTCGACAAAAAAAGAGGATTTTTGAAATGGATGGGTGCGGAATAATTTGATGGGAAAATAAGTCATAAATGAGCAACGTGTTTTAAATTAAAGAGCTGTTATCATAACTTCTCTAACTAATGTATTTTTTTCACTTTTGGTAAACGTTTGTTGTGAAGGCCTTCTCATGCGAGGGGGAAAAAATTACACCAAAATTCGGTTAGAATGATAAATATATAGCACAAAAAGTAATCCAAGTCTTTGGTTAATTTTAGGGTGTGCGAGTTGTTCATTGTTATCTTTGCTAAATTAAATGCAACTTTCACCAACGTAAACCAAATTTTGTATTGGTTTGTGTCTCACTTCCTACATGGACCGAAAGTTTCACGAGGTCACAAATATTTTTCTCAGTGTTCCGACACGAATTCCATGATTTTTGCGGATTATGGTAGAAGAGAACATTTAGATGTATCCGTTCTGTAAAATGTTTGAAATATGACCCAAATTTTTAGTATTTTGTGATAAAATTGTGATTTTTCCGTTGTGAAGAATTTGAATTTTCATTTTTTGGTATTATTTGCATGTTATTAAGATATACAGAGCCAAGACCTTTTACAACACCTTGAGATGTCTGATCTCATCAAACTTTTGGAATGTGACTCATCAAGCGACCCTTTGAGGGTGCGAAACATTGGCGGTTTTAGGATGTTGACGACCTTGTTTTCTCTCCATTTAAACCTATGAAAATGTATCGATTCTCGGAGAAACCAGGTGCTCAACCCAGAATCGATTATTCTACACAGGTTTAAATGGAAAAGAAACAGTTTTGCCGACATCCTCGATCAACCTTCAACTCGAAACGTTCTCCGGAAGTTCTGTCGAGTAACGGCCAGGGATATACGCTGTGCCCCATGATGTTTTCTCGTAGCTATAAGACTTCATTTACGAGACATTTTTCAATGATACATCGTTACATGCATACTTGCACAGCAAAAGATGACTAAGTAAATCAACTTAAACGCCTTAAACGTAATTTAGGATAGAAAAACTAGTTTGTTTCGTTTATTTCAGAGGCAACATGAGAGTCATTGAAATTACACTGTCGGAATATGTGGGTCTAATTAAGGTCATGCACAGTGCACTTGACTCCTCCAGATGCGGCATTACTCATTTCAGAAAAGCCTTGGAGGGGCGGAGGGGGTAAAAGTTCTTGAGAGTAAATGGGGGAAGCAAAGTTTCAAATAATATCTAAAAATGCCTTAAAATTGATACAAATTGAATGAAGTTTCCCTTAAAATGAGCTTTGATAAATTTCCCCATCCCCCTGGCCTCCCTAAATGATGTCTTTGGGTTCATTTTTGCTGACCTGGATCCAATTAAGGTCTATACTTCTAATGGGGTTCGTTGCATATCTTGAACGAAATGTCACGTTCAGATGCAACAATTTTCGGAGTTCGTCAGAGTGGCCAGACATCTTTGTTGAATCGTTCAGGAACTACTGAGTGTCAACTAATTAAGAACTGATTCTTGATGCAATATTCTGAAAGTGAAGAAATTGAAACACTTTTTGTGGAGTGTCATACACGAAGATGACTTTGAAACCAATTAGTGGTTCATATGGAACACCACTAAATGTCGTAAATGAACTAATAATTCTCGATCTGTGAACCACACTAAGGTATCTCGTACCATACCAAGGTATATATACCATCAGTGAGGTATATGCGCTATTATTATTAGTTGCCTTTACTACTTTTAGTGGTGTTCTTTATAAACCACTAATTGGTTTATAAGCCATAGCTTTTCCTCAGTGTAGAAAAGTCTTTTTTAGACTTTCTTTGAAATATGTATGATAGGTCTGTAATAATTAATGGTTTACCCTTTCCCTTCTCAAATATTAGTGCTCTTGTATAATTAGATCAGAATATAGAACATTGAAAAAAGAACACGCAAATAGACTGGGTGATTAGAGACGTATAGTGATTTCGATTTACACGAATCTCGATGAGGTAAAAGTTGTCAGGTATAATCGGATCACAGGATACGACTTCCTGAGGGCGGTCTTGAACTTTAAGGGGTGGGACACAATTTCTTTTTGTCTATTAGCATCGACAAAATGTTAATTCTTCTTATCACTCGATTGAGTAGTTTAAAGGTATCAGTCGACTTTTGAATAGCGCTGTGCCTGTACGTAATCACGTCCTTGTTTCCCGCGCTAATTCGGCCCTAGACCATTGTGCAACGCTGATACAATGTTGTCCACGCAGAGTTGCCACTTCACGGTATTGTCAAAACTACAGCGGCGAATTCAGAAAGGCGATAAGACATTCAGTAAGACTCATATTTTTCAAAAACCAGGGTGGAGAGAAAACTTTAATACTTCGATTTTTTCGTAGATGGGAGACGGAAGTTAATGAGACAAAAAAAAAAAAAGTTGAAGTTAAGAAACTGATCTGTTCCTTCCCTTGGGTCTGTAAGAAAATTGAATTCAGCAGAAAGAGCAGGTTTTTTTTTTTTTTTAGAATTTGCATCTGCCACCAATTTCTTCATAAAGGAGGTACTGCTTTAAAGCAGGAGTGGAGATTCAAATTCTTTATTTAAGGTGATTCGATGGACGCCATATTTTGTGTCAGAACGGCATGCGATATATCGCATCAATCGGTTCCATTTTATCAGCTACTCGTAATTTTTCTCCAATTTTAAGATCGCAATTCTGTTGTCAGGAGACTAAAGCACTCACTTACCAATTTTAAGAAAGAAATTCAACGTAATAAAGGCGTGGTTTTTTTAGAGAGAAAATATAGCATTCGAGTGCAGTTTCGATGTCAGTATCGAATGCAATGTTTTCTCTCTAAGAAAACCACGCCTTTTTCACGATTAATTTCTTCGTTAAAATTGATAAGTGAGTGCTTTAGTCTCCTGACAACAGAATTGCGATCTCAAAATTGGAGAAAAATTACGAGTAGCTGAAAAAATGGAACCGATTGATGCGATATAACGCATGCCGTTCTGACACAAAATATGGCGACCATCGAATCACCTTAAAGAGTAATCACAGAAAAACCACACAAATTTCAATTTACAATTTTCCAGGAATCCACATCAGTCAAGGACGATCGAAAGTTTTCACATTGCAAAATTTCCTCCGTTGCGTTGCTTCATTTCTGCAGCAAAAAATCGGGCAACATTATTTGCCGTTACATTTTGCAAATGAAGAATCTTCCTCATATGAATAAAGAAGTCCAGTGAAATTTGTGCGACTCAGAGAAGTATACATCTTAAGCTAAAAAAAGATATGGAAATTTGGAAAAGTTAACTTGATACTTGGACGAATAATTGGGCGAAAAACGGGAGGAAGAAACTGATTCTATTGACCTGAGGATCCTTTTCAAGAAGAGGAAAAAATCATTTATTTATGCTGCAATGGGTGAAAGTGAAGAACATGCAAAGCTGCTATTCGCTGTTCCAATACGATTCTCCTCCATCAATCCGAAGCCTTCTATGCATTGGATTATCCTTGGTGTGGGCATCAAATCCTAGTCACAAGCGAAGGAATTTCTGGAATTTGCTTACTCAAGTTGACATGCCAGCGAGAAAATCCGGGTCAGTTTCCTCATAATACAGAGCCTTTCGCGTAAAATGAAGTTGTTTCAAAATTAAACTTAACCACATTAGAGAAGAAAAGAGTGTAAATATACAAATATTTTTTTTTGTTTTTTTTAAGACGCCGAGGCATTTATCGGAAAATTCTTAGCTTAGACACCAGACAAAAACTTGCAAACAGGAACTACTATACTTATACCTATCTGAATTATCTATTAAAGACCGATCTATATTTATAGAGATGTGAACGTAACATAATCATGTTGTTTCTAAAATTAATCAGAAATGGCGGTTTCTTATACTGTTGAAAAATTCAGTCCTTGTAGAATTGCCGTCCGTTTTGGGGTCAGACACCGTAAACTGGATTACATTTCGCAATAAGGAACCACTATTTCTGGCCCATTATAGAAACAACATACACGCCATTGGTTTCCCTGTGCGGATATGTGCTTTTATGGGAAAGCCAGAGATAGTGGTTCCTTATTGCAAAATGTAATCCAATCAATGAATTTTGGAGTGGTAAAGGTATTCTGCCGTGCTAAGGAAAAACGCCGCATGGGCCTCCTGGCCTGGCCTTTCTTTTGACAAATATTGAATTTTCGGGAATGATTATGAAAGATTTCTCTTCCGGTTTTTCGGAGGATTTCGTTCGAAAGATCTAAAAAGTTTGAAAATTTCAAGGAAGAGTATTCTTAACTTTCTTCAAAAATAAATATTTTCTGATGAGAATTCGACAACATTCAAATGCTTATCCGGCGGTTTTACTTAGCACGGCAGTATTAGAGCCGGAGCAATGGATGTACGACGACTTTAAGTCCAAGAATTACAGCCTCTGGACCCTGTAAAATCGATACTTCTACATGACCTATAGTGACGGCTTTCAGACCAACATTTGTCTCCATCGGTGAAAGGACCATGTCAATAGAGCATAATCTATTATTTCAAAAGAAAAACAGAAAATATTATGACTTAAACCTCATAACAGGATGAGAATGGAGCGATGAAAAAATCATAGAAAATTTCAAGTTATAACGTTGATTTGTTTCCTGTTCAAAAATATAATATGGGTGAAAAATTTGAAATTTTACGATTGAGGTAAGTACCTACTTGGTTTCGGCGTGCTGTCATCAATTTGTCTCAAAATAATAATTTTTCTGCGATGTTGACACGCGGTTTCTGAGGAACATTTCCATAATATTGCAGCAATGTCGCTTTCATGGATCTGGGCTTGTTCTTGCAGACTGCTGCACAAAATGAAGGTCCTAACCCAAATTAACTGACAGGCACAGCCACATGTGCCAAATTTCGTAAAAAAATAAAGTTTTTGCAGCACTTCAGTGTTAAGTTCAAAAATTATGTTTTGAGAATGGACCTAGTGAGTAGGTATTGTTCGAATGGAAAATTTTATCTGGAAGTCCCTCAACTCTTGTAAAATTTTTAATACTCACCCAAGATACCACTAATACGAACAAATTAAGAATCTATGAATTATACACTTATAGTTAACTCTTAAAAGAAGGACTCATTCCGCCATGTGGGCCAAGACAGACTTATGTGCAATTTTCTGAATGTTGCTTCGATATGCTTTCAACAAAAAACAAACCAATTTCTAGGTTTGACATCAGAAGAAAAAGGTACAATTTTGCAAAAGAAGTAAGTATAGTATTTCTGCAGGACTTACTGCTATTCTGACGAAAATGACGCCAATTTCTGTGGCCAATTTATGTGGGCCAAGACAGACTTATGTGCAATTTTCTGAATGTTGCTTCAACATGCTTTCAACAAAAGACAAACCAATTTCTAGGTTTGACATCGGAAGAAAAGGGTCCAATTTTGCAAAAGAAGTAAGTATAGCTTTTCTGCAGGATTTACTGCTATCGTGACGAAAATGACGTGCATCTGATCTCGGATGGATTTTGTCGGAGCGGAATTATTCAATTATCATATGAGTTAGATTGGTGAATTTTGAGGAAAACTAATTTTGAAAATTTTTTCGTCACTGCTCCATTCAGTATACAACACGGAAAAATGGTGGGAATTCCTCTTCCACTCAGCTTTCATGATGTAAAAAGACGAAGAGCTCTACGGCTAGGGGTCATCAAATTAGAGTGATGATTTATCCAAAGTAAAAGAGCACATGACAATGATGTATTCTTGATTCATTTCCGATGCATTTATGGATCTATTCGGTGCTTATTTCCCTCCTCAAACGAATAGATTATGCAAATGGCAAAGAGTGACCAAGTACTCACTATTCATGAGCCATCGGAAATACGACGTTCACAGTTTGTTGGCATCTAAACTTCAAACACACGTTTACGAGGAAAATGTGTTGACGTATCCAGAGCGCATTGTACCTCTCTTCGTCTTATGCTGCGTTCTTTATCCTTATGAAGCCCATTTTGTGGTCCTTTTTTAAATCATAGAGTACATAGAGTCGTAATGTAAAGTGGGAGAGCTGGCGCCATATTCTGCTCGACGAGTTCCGAGCCCGGTGTGCGGGGTCACTTTTTCGATACACATTCGATCCAAAATGGCGGTGTGGAATATGGCCGGGTCCCCGTGTATCGCAAACAATCGATTATGTATCGAAAAAGGGACCCGGCGCCGCATAGGAATCTTGGAATTTGGGACCTGGAAAATGCTTAAAAGTGGCGCCAGCTCTCCCACTTGCATTACGACTCTTTGTACTCTATGTTTCAAATAGACTGCGTTTTTGTACTAAGAAACTACCATCTATGGCTCATTTTAGAAGCAACATCATAAACCATTAATTTCCTCACACAGATAAATGCCTTGGTGAATGAGCAAAAAATATAATTCCTCATCGCAAAAGGTAGTCCAAGTATGCATAATCGATGCTAAAACCGACTAAACCACGTATCTTAGTTTGCAACGTTGCAAATAGCTCCTCTTTAATTTTACTCATTCAGATAAAGCCTGATCATCGTGGTTACAAAAATTTCGTGTGATTTCTTTTTGTTCTTTTAAGACAATTCTCTAAAGATGTTGCACAAAAATTCGAGAAAAATGGTAAAATATGATCAAAAGTTTTACATCGCCGCAATCGAGATCTGTAGTTAGGTAGTCACGCCGTCGAGATATGAACTTGAAGCACCTACATGGGAAAAGTTTTGCCACGTCAGATGTTACTCTCTGATTAGTTTCACCAGTTTGACGCTTTGATAGGGATCTCAAGAACCATTGTACATCCGTCCAGAATAATTTGCAGCTTGTGTGCATTATTCACAATCTCTAAAAAAACTGCACTATTTTCTGAGGAAAGCGAAATTGTGGGCTGAAATATCCAAGATTTACGACTGTCTCAGACAGGAAGTCCAAAAGCAAGAGTTTCTTGATGAGAGAAGTCCAGATGAAAAGTTTTTGAATCAAGAAGAGCCTTTGAGCTTAGAATTTTATTCCGACATAACTTCCTTCATTTTTATCAATAACCTTCATTCGAAAAAATTGAGATACAAAGTGGAGTCAGCCCAGAATCTCCAGCCTCCCTTCCCACCTGTATTTTAACAGCGTGCACGGCTGCTCTTTCACACTCGGCATCTACAATTGTAAGTGTAATATATCAGCGGGGATTTTTTTTATTATTTTGCTTCTGAGGAATTATTTTCGAAGAAAAATGGTTCAAAATCAAGATGAGTATTTCGCACGAAAAGAGCGACAAAAAGATTATTATCTTTTTTATTGAAAAATTGCGACACATGAGGGCGGCCGATGCAGTCATTTAAAGTTTCACGTTAAACTGTGAAATGGAGGTGATGAAATTATGTCTTTGATATAGAATATTTTTTGAAGCGAGGAGCTCAAAAATACGCTTATTTTCGGCAGTAGATTTTGAAATTACGCATAAATTTTAGATTTTCCCGATGTGCTCATTGTGATTTTTTAGCCTCTTTCCGTGCGAAGCGACTCCTCTTTTCGCTCTTGCGAAAGTTGACGAAAGACCCATTGCGACATTTCTGCCCATCACTTGATTCCAGAATGCGAAATCCGAAATAAGTTCAGAACGCTCATGACGTCAGCAAGTTCAAGAGCAAAGGATATACTTGGCGTTTTCACTTTAAACTAGCCGGAATATATTTCGCACTTCGAGTGTATTTTCGGAGCAATTTCGCATTGCACCAATCCAACTTATTTGATCTGACCCGGCTCTTTCTTCATTTGCGTTAAAAGCGTCGTTAAACCGAGCACAAACGCGAGAATTCTTTGCTTTTTTTTCTTATTCCTGGCACCTCCAAACTTATCCTCTTTTCGTCTCACCGTCTTCTAGCACCGACTTCGTAAGTTCATCGCCTGGTATGCTCGCCTTGTGGTAGATACCTTGCGTTCTTAATTTAATCGGTGTTGTCGTTCCGCACGGAGAGAACGAAATTCGTGATCGTAAAGTCGAATCCGTGGGTAAAAACTGACACCTCCGAGTTCAATGCATCATTCGAGCTTGGATACTCAGCATTGTTTGATGGAGGCTACAATCCGGCGGACGAACTTCAAGCTATTTGTGCTTGGCTATGCTCTGACATGCTACAGAACACTGGAAAAAAACACATTGGATCTAGAGTCCAGACTCTTGAAAACATTGACGAGAATAAATACTCTTGATTCAATCAGATTTTGCTTAAATCAAAAGGAAATCCGCTCAAATTAAGAGGCTTGGTTCTTGCTTCAAGAAAAAATCTGATAGACTCAATAGTATTTTTTCTTGTCGATGTTTTTAGGAGTCTGGACTCTAGATCCAATGTATTTTTTTTCCAGTGAAAACAGCGGTAGGTGCCTTCCAGTGTGTTTCTTGAAATTTACAAACATGTTCAATTGAGGGGCATGGAGGACAATAATGCGCATAAGTACAGTTTTCGCTATTTCGAGAAATACACCTTTGAAGTTTCGAAATTACATGGATCCTTATGGCGGACAAAAAGTTCAAACTGACTTTTTCGTGCTTAAAAATTGGAATCTGGGAGCGAATTTTGCACAGAATATGCATAATGACTAGTTATACTTGAAATCTTTAAAAGTTCAATTTTTTCAAAAACTGCACTTATGCGCCATGTCCTCATAGCTCCTTAATTAAACGACGCGATGGGATTCATTACTTTCCAGAAAAATAAAGGTCCCATAACGGAAAACTATCACCGGTGGTATTTGCAAGCTTCTTATCTTTCGAACTACATTTGGACGTATTTCTACCAGACGGAACTATGTGCATTAAGACATGAGCACTGAGACCCATAAGAATATATGCATGATAGGGCTCAGGCCATAATGCACATAGTTCCACTTTACAGAGATACGTCCATTTTGCAATGAGGAATGAAGATTTTCGACACATTTTAGAAATAATACAACACACGTGCTATTCTTTTCCCGCTGCTGATAAGTGCTCATATACGGGCGAGCAAGAAATAGTAGTTCCTTATTGCTGAATGCAATCCAAATGTAAAATGATTCAACCGGAATCAGTATAACTGCATTTTGCATTGTTGCCTTTCCTCTTCATTTCTTTCAACAGGTAACGAAACATCATAAAGTTTTACAATTTTCCATCATATTTCCATTGGATTTTAAAGAATATAATTCGCAGAATCTTATGTCAGCAGACTGCTCAGTTTTATATTAAAGAAATAAAACACGAGGGAAAAGCAGGTGAAGTTCGATGCAGTTAGACTAACTCAAGTAAAATCTGTTCAATTATAATGGAAACAAGTGGACGGAT